CCCCCCCCTTTCCCCAGTGGCTCCCCCGGGCTTGGGCTCCTTACCACCACGGCACTGCTGGCCCCCGTCGACAGGTAGATGTTCTCCGGGTTGGAGGGGATCCCCCCATCTCGGCGTTGGATGAAGGCAGCCACATCCTGTCGGATGAGCTCGATCCCAGGACTGGCACTGTAGGCCCCTGATGGGGGGAGAAGGCAGGTAGAGAAAATGGGTGGGGGGCGAGGAGGAGGAGGAGGAGGAGGAGGAGGAAGAGGAGGACTCGGACTCGGACTCGGCTCTGCAGCTCACTGGTCTATTTATTATTTCCTATTATTATTATTAATAATAATAATAATAATAATAATAATAATAATAATAATAATTAATAATAATAAAGAAGTTGGAAGGGACCTTGGAGGTCATCTAGCCCAACCCCCTGCTCAGGCAGGAGACCCTACACCATTTCAGACAAAGGGCTGTCCAGTCTCTTCTTAAAAACTCTGGGCAGCCTATAAATCTTTTATATAAGTTAACTCTGGGGGGTGGGGGGGGCACGCCATGCTCAAGGCCGCTGGGCCTGGGAAGCCCCCCAATAATGCCCCAATGTCATCCTGGCCTAATTGCTGGATCACACCTGACGCCTAGCCTTGGGGTCCAGTCTAGCCACCCACCCACCCACCCCCAGGTCTCCAGAAGATGCTTAATCCAGAGCAGCCCAACAGGGCCGCCCACAGCCGGTGGCTTTGCATGCCCCCCCCCCCGTATACAGGGGCCAGCAGCCAGGGGAAGCCCCCTCCCTATCTGAAAGAGGCATCATTCTTTGCTCCAGAGCGGGGGTCTCCAGCCCTGGCCACTGTAAGACTTGTGGACTTCAACTCCCAGAATTCCCCAGCCAGCGCATGCTGGCTGGGGAATTCTGGGAGTTGAAGTCCACAAGTCTTACAGTGGCCAGGGTTGGAGACCCCCGCCCCAGGTCACCCAGGAGATCATCTGGTCCACCTTGATCAGCCTGCTGAAATCTGGACCTTTCCTCAATTTACCAACAGCTCCTTTAGTGACCGTTCAAAGTTACAACGGCCCTGGGGGGGAAAAAACACGGATTTATGACCGTTTTCCCCACTTAACAACCGTTGCAGCCTCCTCACCCGTCCCACGATCAAAATTCCGACGCTCGGCCACCGACTCACACTTATGACGCGTTACAGCCTCGCGGGGTCATGCGAAATCCCCTTTTTGTGGCCTACCGATAACGGGGAATCCGGTTTCACTTAACAACCGTATTCCTCGCTTAACAACGTGCAGGGGTCCGCTCGACAACCGGGGCAAGAAACGTAAAACGGGGGGAAATTCACTGAACCCCTGGATGGAAATTTGGGCTCCGTTGTTGGACGTAAAGCGAGGACTTACTCATACTTCCATGGAAACAGAGATCAAGTGAAACTGGAGGGTCCGGCTCTTCCTGGGGCTCAGGTGAGGCTCCTACCCAGGTGGGTCTTCCTAGGACCCCTTTTAAGGGGGGAGGGAAGGAGGGACCCCCCCCAGGGATGTCCAAACACTCACCAATGCTCTGCCCTCCGCACGCGGCCAGGAGTCGCCGGGCTTTCTGTTTTGCGTCTTCAGGAAAATCGGGGGAATTCAGGAGTTCGGGGTACATGCAGAGGGCGCTGACCTGTGGGAGGGGGGAATTAGGGTGATGCTGCAGCCTCCCCCCGCCTCGCCATCCCCCCCCACTTCCCCCCCCCTCCCAGGTCTCCCACCCGAGGTATTCGTGGGCTCTCTGCACAGACTCAGAGTCCCTCTGTTCCGGATACCAAGGCTGTCTGGGTCAGTCTGAGGGACCCCCGGCAAACGGGGATAAGCCTGACCAGGGGAGGGTCTCTCCCGTCCCCCCCCTGCCCCCTAGACATACCTGGCGCACGAAAGTGATGGGCTTCTGCCCCATAGCTTGCGCGTCCCCAATGTTGGCTGCAATCACTTCCGCGAAGGGCTTCTTGACCCCCTGGCAAAGGAAGGGATGAAGATGGAGGTCACTTTTTTTATATATATATATAAAATGTTTATTAATTTTTCAAATTAAACAACAAACAATACCAATATGATGCATTTACTTAAAACACAAGCAAAAAAGATAATCCTACTCAATACGTTTTCGGAGACGCTCGGCGGTCCCCGCCCTGCGTCCACCCTCATTCACTTTCCTCTTCCTTCCTCCCCCTAGACCCACAACCTCTCCTCTTTCCTCCTTTCCACCTCCCTACATCCCAACTCCCTTCTTAACCACCTCTTCGAGTGCAGTTTGGGGTACCAGCCGAGCAGTTTGGGGTACCATTTAACCAGTGGAACAACCTGCCTCCAGAAGCGGTGAATGCTCCAACACTGGAAGTTTTTAAGAAGAGACTGGACAGGCATTTGTCCGAAATGGTATAGGGTTTCCTGCCTGAGCAGGGGGTTGGACTAGATGATCTCCAAGGTCCCTTCCAATTTTTTTTAATTATTATTATTATTATTATTATTATTATTATTATTATTATTATTATTATTATTATTATTATTATTATTATCTCCTCTTTTTAATAAAATTCCATTATTTGCCTATAATATATAAATACATCAATTTTTATAATTTCTATCCCCTAAACCCCTTCTCCCCTCCTCCCCCCCCGGACTTCCCAGAACTGAGTACAGGAATAATCACATAATAATCCAAGTCTAACCCAAACAACCCCTTCATAATATAAACAAGTATAAACTTACTGTAACTCTAATATACAATAATCAACTTAACTATAAACTATATATATAAATTATATATCAAAATATTTATAAATAACAATAATTAATCAAAGACTATATGATCATGGTTCATTTCATATTTTCAAGATGGAGGTCACTTTTATTGCCATTTCCCTGTACTGTCGGTCCTCGGCTTACGACAGTTCATTTAGTGACCGTTTGAAGTTACAACGGGATGGGAAAAAGGGACCTACGGCGGTTTCCCACACTTACGTCCCCAGGGTCACGTCGTCAAAATGCGGACGCCTGGCCACCGACTCGTACTTACGACGGCCTCAGTGGTCTGGGGGTCACGTGATCCCCTTCTGCGACCTCCTGGCAAGCGAAGCCAAGGGGGGAGGCCGGATTCATTTAACGACCGTGTGGCCACTTAACAACTGCCGTGATTCTGTGGCAAGAAAGGGGGTCAAATGGGCCCAAACTCCCTTAACGGCCGTCTCGCTTAGCAACGGAAATTTTGGGCTTAGATGTGGACGTATGTTGAGGACTACCTGTGCTGGGGAATTCCAGTTTTGCTGGCTGGGGAATTCTGGGAGTTGTAGTCCACAAGTCTTAAAGTTGCCAGTGTTGCCCCCCCCCAAATATCTGAGGGGTGGTCACAAAAAAGAAGGGGGCTCAACCTCTTCTCCAAAGACCCCGAAGGCAGGACAAGAAGCAACGGATGGAAACTAATCAAAGAGAGAAGCAACCTGGAACTAAGGAGAAACTTCCTGACAGTTAGAACAATTAACCAGTGGAACTACCTGCCTCCAGAAGCGGTGAATGCTCCAACACTGGACGTTTTTAAGAAGAGATTGTGTGTAATGGCATAGGATCTCCTGCCTGAGCAGGTTGGACTAGAAGACCTCCAAGGTCCCTTCCAACTCTGTTATTCTTTTTCCTTCCTTCCTTCCTTCCTTCCTCCCTTCCTCCCTCCTTCCCTCCCTCCCTCCCTCCCTTCTCCAACATTGAAAGGTTTTAAGAAGAGACTGGACAGCCATTTTTCTGTAATGGCATAGGACAGGGGTAGGCAACCTGGGCCCTTTTATGACTCGTGGACTTCAACTCCCAGAATTCCTGAGCCAGCATGGGGGAAATATGCCCCCCTTGATGACTGGTGGACTTCAACTCCCAGAATTCCTGAGCCAGCCTGGCTCAGCTTGGAAACCTCTCCCTTTCCCTTCAGCGTGGCTGGCTCAGGAATTCTGGGAATTGAAGTCTACCAGTCATAAAAGAGCCAAGGTTGCCTACCCCTGGCCTAAGTCCTCCTGCTCTAAGCAGTGAGCCTCCTAGACCAGGGGTAGGCAACCTTGGCTCTTTTATGACTCGTGGACTTCAACTCCCAGAATTCCTGAGCCAGCATGGGGGAACTATGGCCCCTTCATGACTTGTGGACTTCAACTCCCAGAATTCCTGAGCCAGCACGGGAACCGTGGGCCTTTTATGACTCGTGGACTTCAACTCCCAGAATCCCTGAGCCAGCATGGGGAACTATGGCCCCCTCATGACTCGTGGACTTCAACTCCCAGAATTCCTGAGCCAGCATGGCTCAGCTTGGAAACCTCTCCCTTTCCCCTCAGCGTGGCTGCCTCAGGAATTCTGGGAGTTGAAGTTCACTGGTCATAAAAGAGCCCAGGTTGCCTACCCCTGGCCTAGGATCTCCTGCCTGAGCAGGGGGTTGGACTAGAAGACTTCCAAGGTCCCTTCTGAGTCTGTTCTTCTGTTATTCTGACTTCCTTTCCCACCTGGCTCTGACGTGGGGGAGAAACCTAGAGGACCTCAAGGTCAACTTCACCCACCCCGCCGTCCTTGGGCGCCTTTGCCTGCCTCCTTATCGCCTCGAAAATGATTGCACGGTATTTGCCTAAAAGTTAAGGCAGTTCCTTGGGCATTGATTTCCCAGGGGGGGGGGCGCCAAGACTGCCCTCCCCTCACAGGGACTTGCCAGATCATTCCTCTGCAGGCAGAGGCACCAGGAACAGTATAACAGAGTTGGAAGGGACCTTGGAGGTCTTCTAGTCCAACCCCACCCCCGCGCTCCCACCGCTCAAGCAGGAGACTCTATACCAGGAATGTTCAACCTTGGGAACGTTAAGGCTTGTGGAGAATTCCCCAGCCCTGTACCATCCCAGTCAGATGGCTGTCCAGTTTCTTCTTACAAACTTCCAGTGTTGGAGCATTCACAACTTCTGGAGGCAGGTGGTTCCGCTGGTTAATTGTTCTAACTGTCAGGAAGTTTCTCCTTAGTTCCAGGTTGCTTCTCTCCTTGATCAGTTTCCATCCGTTGCTTCTTGTCCTGCCTTCAGGCGCTTTGGAGAATAAGTTGACTCTCCCATCTTTATAGGAGCTCCTCAAATATTGGAACACTACTATATAGATACATAACAGAAGTAGATTTAATCAACAATAGCTTCCATCTGGATTATATGTCACACAGTAAGGCAAAGATAAACATTCAGGGTACAATTTGTAAAGTTTATACTTGCATGGCAAAAGGATTGGAGAGCAAAGAATGGGCAAGTCAGACATGAAATATTTAACAGAATAACAGAGTTGGAAGGGACTTTGGAGGTCATCTAGTCCAACCCCCGGCTCAGGCAGGAAACCCTATACATTTCGGACAAATGGCTGTCCAGTCTCTTCTTAAAAACTTCCAGTGTTGGAGCATTCACCGCTTCTGGAGGCAGGTTGTTCCACAGGTTAATTGTTTTCACTGTCAGGAAGTTTCTCCTTAGTTCTAGGTTGCTTCTCTCCTTGATTAGTTTCTATCCGTTGCTTCTTGTCCTGCCTTCAGGCGCCTTGGGGAACAGCTTGACTGCCTCTTCTTTGTGGCAGCCCCTGAGATACTGGAACATTGCTATCCTATTCCCCCCTCGTCCTTCTCTTCATTAAACTAGACATTCCCAATTCCAGCCGCCGTTCCTTATATGTTTCAGCCTCCAGTCCCCTGATCATCTCTGCTGCTCTTCTCTGTACTCTTTCTAGAGTCTCAACATCTTTTTTACATCGTGGTGACCAAAACTGGATGCAGGATTCCAAGTGTGGCTTTACCAGTGCAGTATAAAGTGGTACTAACGCTGGACCCATCTAGTGTATGAACACTCCTGGGTGAAGTTGCTCGTATAATAATGGGAATTGTAGTCCCTGCATATCTGGATGGACAGAGATGCTGGAGCAATCGCCCAGGACACATCAACCTGGTATCTCGGAGCTTTCAGCTGCTCCGTGGGGTCAGGCCAGGCTCATCCCAGCCAGCCCGACTCAGAGGAAACCAGGCCCCCAACAGCCTCCAAGTCTAGGTCAGTCTAGGACAGGGGTAGTCAACCTTGGCTCTCTTATGACTCGTGGACTTCAACTCCCAGAATTCCTGAGCCAGCATGGCTCAGCTTGGAAACCTCCCCCTTTCCCCTCAGCATGGCTGGCTCAGGAATTCTGGGAGTTGAAGTCCATGAGTCATAAAAGAGCCAAGGTTGCCTATCCCCTGCTCTAGGAGGCTCACCAATTAGAGCAGGAGGACTTAGGACAGGGATAGACAACCTTGGTTCTTTTATGACTGGTGGACTTCAACTCCCAGAATTCCTCAGCCAGCATGGCTCAGCTTGGAAACCTCTCCCTTTCCCCTCAGCATGGCTGACTCAGGAATTCTGGGAGTTGAAGTCCACCAGTCATAAAAGGGCCGAGGTTGCCTACCCCTGGTCTAGGAAGTGGAGTCATCCGCAATGAGGTCAAGAGGTCATCAAGAAGAGCCCAGCAGGTCAACTGGGGGCTGAGCCAACAGAAAGGCTTAGGAAGGATCCTTCCAGATCCACCTGGGGCAGGAGAAGTGATCTACCCTGGAAGTCCCTGAGACCCGTCCTGAGTCCCACCTTGAGGGGTTTCTCCTGGACAGTGGTCTTCTCTGGATCCCACCCACCACCGGCGCTGACGCCCAGGAAGAAGACCGCCCTTCTTCCCAGGGGGCCGCTTCAATACCGACATCCCATAATCTGAGAGGGTCTTTATGCAAAGCCCCCTAAACTCACCTCCCTCACCTCTTGCAGCTTGCCCCTCACCAGACCCAGGTCAGCATCCCGGCTTCATTCCAGAAGTTCACCCGCCTTCTCCCCTCTGGGGCTCCCAGCTCCCGTTTCCTTTCGTTTGATCAGGGGGCATTAAGGAGAATAGGGCGTATTTACAGGCAGTCCTCGGCTTACGACCGCAACTGAGCCCCACTTTTTTGTTACTAAGCAAGACAGGTGCTCAGTGCCCTGTTTTATGACCTTTCCTGCCGCAGCTGGTAAGTGAATCACTGCAGTTGTTAAATGAGTAACCCGGTTGTTAAGTGAATCCGGCTTTCCCAGGTCGCAAAAGGGGTCACGCGACACCCCCCCCCAGGGGACGCTGCGACCGTCGTAAATATGAGTCGGTTACCAAGCGTCCCAAATTTGATCACGTGACCACAGAGGATGCTGCAACGGTCATTAAGTGGGAAAAACAAACGTAAGTCCCTTTTTTCAGTGCCGTTGTAACGGTCACTAAAACAAACTGTCGTAAGTTGGGGACAGCCTGTATTCCAGGAGAGTCAAGACAAAACCGCCCGCGTTGAAGGAAGCTGCCCACGCTCTCATCTTGGGTAGACAGTGTGATGGGCGGGATATTTGGCTTTTAATTTAATTTGGTTTTAATTTGGTTTTATGGGGGGTTTTTTTGTTCTTTGATGTATTTTGTTTGTCTGTTTTAATATGCTGTGCACCGCCCTGAGTCCTACGGGAGAAGGGCGGTATATAAATTAAATTATTAAATTAAATTAAATTAAATAAATTTAAACCCTAAAGTAAACTAAATTAAAAACTAGACTAAACTAAACACTAAGCTAAAAAGCAAAGCAAAGCAAAGGAAAAACTAATACAGCAAGCCAGCCACTAAGCCAACTTTCGGACTCGCGAACAGACACGTGATCCAGTCAGTTGCCCGGCTTACCTGCTTCAACTCCTTCTGCAGCTGGTTGGCCCGGGCAACGATGGGCCCCCGCACGGCGTACTCCACCTTCCGGACGTGGGGGTTCATGGACTCCAGGGTCAGGACCCTGTCCTTCGGCACTGCCCGGCTGTCCGCCATCCCCGGCTGCTTCGTCTGCCGCCGCAGCGCCCTGCAATGGAAAGGAGGTTCGGGGCTGAGCAAGGGGACCCCCCAGCAGAGCGGCCCCCTCGCCCGGACCCCGGGGAGCCTGGCGCTCAGGACCACCCTGGCAAAGCGAAGCCTCAGCATCGGCCCCAACGGCTTCAGCTGCTGCAGGGGAAAGAGATCCGCTGCTCGGGATCCCGGCTGGGGGAGGGAAGCCAGGATCCACCGCACAGGTGGCCCAACTCTCTCCCTTCCCAAGTTGCTGGGAGTTTTGCGAGGGGGGGGGCTGGCTCAAACCCAAGCAAGGGGGGAGCCCAGCTCCGAGACAGCCCCCTCCTCTCCCAGCCTTGGGCTCAAGGCCTCCCTTTCCCCCCCCCCAGCCGAAGGAGGGACCCACCGGGATCCCAGGCCAGCCCAGCAGCTGCTCCCACAGGGGCAGGGAGGGGAGGCCGCTGCTCCTTTTAACCCGGGGTCGGCCGGAGGGAGGAGACTGGCTGGAAGAAAGCCGGGCATTGTGCAGGCGGCTGAAAGGACCTGGCCCTTGCACCGCCAGACCCACAACGACGCGGGAACAAAGCCGAAACTGGCTGTCCCACCGAGGCTCTGCCTGCCAACCGCGGGCAGCGTGCCCAGGTGGCAGAGAGGAGGGAGGGAGGGAGGGAGGGAAGGGCTGGCTGGCTGCCTCGCCCTCACTTGCACCCGGAGGAAGGGGCAGGGCGGCCAAGAGGAGGGATGCGAAGGCTCAGCCCGAAGCCAAAAGGCCTGGCCAGGATGCCCCTCCGTCCTGAACGCCCCCCCCCAAAAAAAGTGCACTTCCTGATGCTCTAACCCCTAGGATCCCTTTCCAGAACAGGTGGCATCTGGGCACTGCCAGTTGCTTGCAGCAGCTCCACCCCATCTTGGCCCGAAGGGTGCATTATGTTTATATTTATATTTATATTTATATTTATATTTATATTTATATTTATATTTATATTTATATTTATATTTATATTTATATTTATATTTATATTTATATTTATATTTATATTTAGATTATTTAGATTTAGATTTAGATTTAGATTATTTAAATTTAATTTAGATGATTTAGATTTAGATTTAAATTTAAATTTAAATTTAAATTTAAATTTAAATTTAAATTTAAATTTAAATTTAAATTTAAATTTAGATTTAGATTTAGATTGATTTAGATTTAGATTGATTTAGATTTAGATTTAGATTTAGATTAATTTAGATTTAGATTTAGATTTAGATTTAGATGATTTAGATTTAGATTTAAGATTCAGATTTAGATTGTTTTTTACCTTATTTACTTTATTATTGTATTGTACTGGACAGGTGGTCCTCAACTTACAACCGTTCTTTTAGTGACTGTTCAAAGTTACGAAGACACTGAAAAAAAGGGACATATGATTATTTCTCACACTTACGAGGGTTGCAGCGTCCCCCAAGGGTCACCTGATCAAAATCCAGACAGTTGGCAACCGACGCACATTTACGACGGTCGCAGAGTCCCGGGACCGCGAGTGGATGCCCTGCAGAGAAGCTGAACTTCATCTCCCAGAATCCCTCTGGTCTTGCTGGACTTCTGGGAGATGCTATTCAATAAGCAGCAGACCAGGCTGGGGGCTTGTTTGTTTTTTCTCTTTGAAAACGTTTCGCTCCTCGTCCAAGAAGCTTCTCCATCCAGACGTTCTTCGCATGAAGAACTGAAGAAGCAAAACGATTTCAAAGGGAAAAAAAAACAAGAAAGTCCAGTTGCCTTTTGGAAAAGCCCCTTTGGGACAACCACAACCATCAAACACAGTATAGGATCAATCAATCAGAATAGAGCTGGAAGGAACCTTGGAGGTCTTCTAGTCCAGCCCCCTGCTCAAGCAGGAGACTCTATACCATTTCAGACAGATGGCTGTCCAGTCTCTTCTTAAAAACCTCCAGTGATGGATCACCCACAACTTCTGGTGGCAAGGAGTTCCACTGGTTAATTGTTCTCATTGTCAGGAAGTTTCTCCTTAATTCCAGGTTGCTTCTCTCCTGGATGAGTTTCTATCTGTTGTTTCTTGTCTTGCCTTCAGGGGCTTTGGGGAAAAAAAGTTGACCCCCTTCTTCTTTGTGGCAGCCCCTCAAATACTGGAATTCTGCTCTCATGTCCACCCTGGTCCTTTTCTCCAGACTGGCCCAAATCCTACAGCCGTTCTTCCTATGTTTTAGTCTCCAGGCCTTGGATCCTCTTAGTTGCTCTTCTCTGCACTTTTTCCAAAGTCTCAACATCTTTTTTGTGATAGGGTGACCAAAACTGGCTGCAGTATTCCAGATGTGGCCTCACTAGGGTTTTATAAAGCGGTACTAACACTTCGCATGATCTTGATTCTGTGTCTCTGTTTATACAACTCAGGATTGTGTTAGCTTTTTTGGTTGCTGCTGCACACGGCTGGCTCATGATCAAGGGATCGTCCACTAGGACTCCGAGATCCCTCTCACAGTTGCTGTTTTTGAGCCAGGTCTCACCCAATCTGTACTTGTACCTTTGGTTTTTCCTGCCTAAATATAATACTTTGCTTTTCTCTACTTTGAAACTCATTTTGTTGGACAGGGCCCATTGTTCAAGTTGGTCAAGATCTTTTTGGATCCTGAGTTTGTCTTCTGGGTGTTGGCTACACCTGCCAGTTTGGTGTCATCTGCAAATCTGATGAGTTCCCCTTCAATTCCCTTGTCTGAGTCATTGATGCTATCGTGTCCCCCCCCCCCCCCAGTTCTTCTTTTCTCTAGACTAGCTAAACCCAAATCCTTGCAACCGTTCTTATATTTTCGTCTCCAGGCCGTGGATCCTCTTAGTTGCTCTTCTCTGCACTTTTTCCAAAGTCTCAGCACCTTTTTCGTAATGTGGGGACCAAAATGGACATTCCAGGTGCCCATGGGAAAACCCTCACTAAGAGAAGCCACAGCTTCCCCCACACCTCGCACAGCCCTGTGTGTGTTGTCACACCGCTAGAGGTGAGCCAGACGCCCTTAAAACTGCCCACGTTGGCCAAAAGGGTGGCTTTGCAGGAGCCGGGCGGAACGCCGTGCTGGCAAGTCATCCCCAAGGTAACGGTGACCCTGGGGGAAAGGAGGGCGAGGCAGAATGGCTCTGGGTGGGTCTCAAGCTGGCCGGGACGATCCGAGGAAATGTGATCCGACGTTTCATCCGGCTGAGGCCCTGAGCAAACAGGCTCGCCTGCAAACCTGAGGAACAGGTTGGGTCCTGAGCGTGGGTGAAG